GTAGTTTGTCTGACCTAGAACATTGAGCTGGGACCACACTCACAGTTTCCATGGCTCCCCGACAGGTAGGCAGGAATGTCTGAGGCGCTAGGTGCCCGCACACACCTTATCTAAAGGGGATTTGCACTAACTCAGAGTTACTCTAAAATAAGGATGTACGATAAAAATCATGTCGCTCAGAGTTTACCCTCACCATCCTTAAATTACCCATAAGACACAGCATCTGCTGGTCGGCCTCACAGGGCAGTTTTCTCCCCGTTTTGGTACAAATCAGCCTAAGGACTGAGTGACGTGAGAGCCGGAATCGGCCATGTTTGTAAGAGCACGGTCTGAAGCCAGGCTTCCTCCAATCCCTCCTCCGCTCGTTCCTCAGTGTGGCCTTGGGCCTCAGCTCTTTCCCTGAAGTGTGGCTGTCACCGTATCAACCAGCACACAGAGAATCCCAGGGCCTCCCTCACATACCCCAGCCTCCCTTGCAGTTGGTTTGGGGCCATGGGAGGAGGGAAAGTAAGGAGAGGTGAGAAGGTTAAGAACTGGGCATCTCCTCCATCCTTTTCTTCCTTTGCTTCAGTGACCTCACAGATCCCATATTCCAAATATTATAATTTATAAACCTGGACCAGTCATTGTAGGAGCAACACATAAGCTGTGACTGGGTGAGGCCACTGGTATTTTGGTAGTGTTATAACTACAACCTAGCCTAGGCTAGCCTAATACACTGGGGATAGTAATATTTCCTACTTTCTTGGGTTGTAATACAAGTTGAATTAGGTGACATTTATAAATTGTTCAGAATTGCACTTGACTAAACATTATATCAGTGCTTAGCAGGTGACTAGGTAGGTAACAAGGGACAGACAGAGGCAGTAGCTGCTTTCTGAGCTGCTCTGAGAACAGCTAAGAAAAAATCTGAGTCTTGTGTCCTATTTTATGCTTCACCTCCAGAGTAGAATTGCTTGCATTTTACAAAATTCTTCTCTCTTTATCTTCTAAGAGCATAGCCCTGAATTAGCATAAAGTACACATACACGACAACCCACTGTCCCTAACACCCGTTGCCAGGAGAAGGGGCCATGCACACTCCTCAGACTTCAAGGACATTTCAACCTCTTGGACGGCTTCAGAATTTGACTTGCTGTCATCTTATTCAACCCCCCTCCCCAGCCCCCCGACACTTCACATTCACACTGAGGATACCTCCAGCGCCATGGCTCCAAGTCCACGCCATTCCACATCCCATCTTCCCTCATGTCAGCCACTCGATGGAACAGTTACCGCTCAGAATGGGTTGTCATGAAGACCATCACATCTCAACTTCCCAAGTTCCTGACCTGATCATAACTTTCTCCAGCCTTCCACCTTCCCCACCTACTCACTTCTATTTATATCACCTGCCCTTGCGTGAGACTATGGATTGGGAAGGTTATTGGTGCCTCACAGGGCAGGGAGCACCAAACTACAGCCCATGGGCCAAATCTGCTTTTGTGAATAAAGATGGATTGGAACAAAGCCAGATCCATTTGTCCCCGTGTTATCTCTGTGGGTTTCGTGCTACAATGGTGAAGCTGAGCAGCTGTAACAGAGACCACAGTGGCCTGCAAATCCTAAAAGATTTACAATCTTCCACAGAAAGAGCTGGCTGACCCGACCTAGAAAGCCATCTCCCTTCCCCAGGACCCCTGAGGTCACTGGAGCCATGTTTCACGACCAGCCCAAGGCTCCACCACAGTAACCCTCCTCCCACTGCTGCTGGAGAACTGGCTTATGAAGGAGCATGAGGAGGGAGAACGAGATGATGGGAGGGAACTGGTTGGTGGATTATGCACATTCAGAGCCAGGTCTTGGTAAGGTGCCCCAGGCCTCCCCAACGTCAGGAGGCATCTCACTTGGGCCCACACCTGCCCCTCTCCCCATGACCCAGAGGTCGTTTTCCTGCGTGACATCTGAGCTCTGGGCATGACCACAGGAAGGTGTGCCTCTCCACTGTCTCGCCCCAGCCATCTCTATGGGGAGCGCAGCCTGGCTGCCCTGCAGTCAATAGTTCGAGGCTGGGAAACCGGGATCAGAGAGTTTCCTGGCTCCTGCCCTCATTCCCCTTAAGAACTTTGGCTCCTGCCTGCCTTGGACTCTTCCTGTCCAGGGCACACTCAGGAAGGAGACCGTACCTGAGGTCTTGCCTCTCAAAAACAAAACCGGGCACCAACCAGCTTGGCCACTGCCCCACCTGGGCCAGCGCCAGGCCCCCAGGACAGCCCATCTCCCGTAGTGCTTTGCCACCATCTCAATCAGAACCCTCACTAAGGACTACCCCCAGTGTAAGCACGCCTCTCACCCCAAGGCAGCAGCCCGACAGCACCCACTCTGTGCAGCACACCTGTAATACTGGTTTGGTGGTGATGAACTCCTTTAGCTTTTTCTTATCTGTGAAGCTCTTTATCTGACCTTCAATTCTGAATGATAGCTTTGCTGGGTAAAGTAATCTTGGTTGTAGGTTCTTGGTATTCATCACTTTGAATATTTCTTGCCACTCCCTTCTGGCCTGCATAATTTCTGTTGAGAAATCAGCTGACAATCATATGGGTACTCCCTGTAGGTAACTAACTGTTTTTCTCTTGCTTCTTTTAAGATTCTTTGTCTTTTGCTCTTGGCATTTTAATTATGATGTGTCTTGGTGCGGTCCTCTTTGGGTTCCTCTTGTTTGGGACTCTCTGCATTTTCTGGACTTGTAAGTCTATTTCTTTCACCAGGTAGAGGAAGTTTTCTGTCATTATTTCTTCAAATAGGTTTTCAATATCCTGCTCTCTCTCTTCTTCTGGCAACCCCATAATTCGGATGTTGGTTCGTTTGAAGTTGTCCCAGAGGCTCCTTACGCTATCTTCATATTTTTGGATTCTTTTTTCTTTTTGCTTTTCCAGCTGGGTGTTTTTTGCTTCTTTGTACTTCAAATCTTTGACTTGATTCTTGGGATCCTCTAGTCTGCTGTTGGATCTCTGTATATTATTCTTTATTTCAGTCAGTGTATGCTTAATTTCTAGTTGGTCCTTTTTCATATCCTCGAGGGTCTCACTAGATTTATGGAGGGTCTCACTAAATTTATTGGCGGTTTTTAGAAAATTCTTGAAAAACCTTATAAGTGTGATTTTGAACTCTATATCCAGTAGTTTGCTTTCCTCTATTTCTGTCATTTGTGACCTGTTTCTTTGTCTCCGCATTTTGGCTGCTTCCCTGTGTTGATAGAGTGGCTTTCTGTGCTAGGTGTCCTATAGGGCCCAGTGGCTCAGCCTCTCCAATTACCTGAGGTGGACACTCTTGGTGCACCCCTTTGTGGGCTTTGTGCACAGTCTTGTTGTAGTTAAGCCTTGATTGTTGTTGGTATCACTGTGAGGAATTGACCTCCAGGCCAATTGGCTGTGAGAATCAGCTGTGTCTACGGTGGGAGAACTTCTGTGCTAGAGACACCCTTATGGGGCAAGACTTGTTTCAGTGGAGCTTTGGTGCTCACTGAGTCTGCCCTCTGAGTGTGTCCCTTATGGATCTGAGGAGTTGTAATCTGAATGGTCCCACTCTGACAGGTGGGTACACTGGCTCTTGGATCTCTAAGGAGGTGCTAATTTAGCCTCTTCCTGAGGCTACCCAGCAGGAGCTACTGAGATCAGCAGATTCCTCTTCTTTGTTTGGGGTTTGGAGATGCCCAGGTGAGGCCCAGCTGTGAAGCAATGCAAGCTGCTGTGAGGCCTTGGGCCTTCTTTTGGATGTTCTGGGTCTTTCTGACCCAGCTGCAGATTGTTAGGTAATTGTAGATTGCAAAGGGCCAGGTCATTCATATGCAAAAGCCTCTGCCACAGCTTGGGTGGGGTGGGGTTTCAGGGAGCAAACAGCTATGGCTGATCCTCAGCCCTGTACTAAGAGGCCCCGGGTCTCAGTGTCCCGGTAAGCGCTGCAAGCACCTCTGAGAGAAAGCCACCCTCGAGTTCTGCCCAATGCCAGACAGTCCAGTTTCTCCCCGTATGAGTCTGGGTCCCCAGAGACTCGCCCAGAACTGGAGTTCAGAGAAGTTGGGAGCTTGTGTCTCCCTCCCGATTGAAAAAGACAACCGCGTCATCCTCAGTTGCCAGCTCTTTCCGCGTGCACCTCCGTACCTCTGCACTTTACTTCCGCACCTCCTCTGAGTCTCAGTGTGCTTTTCTCTTTCCTTCTAGTTGTAGAATTTCCACTCAGCCAGCCTTCCTGTGGTTCTGGATGATGTCTGTTTTGTCTTTTAGTTGTAGTTTTGAAGTGGTTGTGCAAGGCAGAAATTTCAGGTGTTTACGTATGCTGCCATCTTGGTTTCTCTCTTAGTAAGTATTTATTGCACTGAATTACATTAGTACCATTTCAATTTTTATGAAGCCACAAATGCTGATGCAGGTGCTCCGTAAGTGTCATTGCTATGTTACTGACGAAAACAGCCCACATAAATAGTATTACTAATTCCATATGCTAGAACTCAATTTTATAGGGTTAAATAATTTTAAGAGCTCTGGGAAGATGTACTATCGACCAAACTGATTATTTCTGTGAGAAGACTCACATTAAAAGGGTGGTCAAAGAGAGTTTTAATTTTATCTGTCATATCCTAGTGGTTTGAATGTAGAACCGATGCATATAACTAAAAATTAATAGTTAGAAAACTTTAGTCCTATTTCCTGAGACATAATGACCTTCAAGGAAGGGGAAGGGAGGGAGAAGCTAGGGAGAAAAGGGAGAGGGAGAGAATGGAGAGACGAATTACTTAGGATAAGAGTTGTTTAAAGTTTTCTATTTTAGTTCTGAAGTGCTCTTTGAATAATCACTGCATGGATAGATGCCCTGAGCCTAGACTGAAAATAACGAGAGACAAGAGCCACAGATGTAACTTACCTGGGGCCCAGGGTGGTTACATGAGTTAGTTCTCTTAGATGGGAGAAAACTAACAATTTTGAAATCAGAAATAAATTATTCAAACCTCTGTCGGCACTTACTGTTGCTTTAGCCACTGCTCCACAAAGGGAATGGAGAAGAAATCTGTGAACGGCTCCCCTGTCCTCTTTGGATTTTGACTGGTCATGATGTCATATGTTTGATTGACAAGAAAACAATAAGGAAGAATTCAAGTCAATTGTTGCTATCCTGCTTGCAAATTAACATTATTGAATCTTTAGGGTCACTGAATAGTCATGAAAAACTTACTTGTATAACCACTCCGTCAGAAAATCACAGGCAATGAATTTGGTCCTTTTCCTCTAAAGAGAGAAGAAAGAATTAAATAACATTCTTTGCTCACGTGTCTGAGCAGGGCAAAGGATGAGAGGCTAACTGGCTGCTGTGCCACATGACACACATACGTGTCCTCCACGAAGCTCACAGCAAGAATCCTGAAGACGGTCTCCCATCCTCTGGATAAGCCAGGTTCTGGAAGCAGCGCTAATGAGAGGCAGGGCCCACAGTAGGGAGCTTATTACATGCTTTAGTGCAGGGGTCCTCAAACTACGGCCCGCGGGCCACATGCAAATACAAATATTGTATTTGTTCCCGTTTTGTTTTTTTACTTCAAAATAAGATATGTGCAGTGTGCATAGGAATTTGTTCATAGTTTTTTTTTAAACTATAGTCCGGCCCTCCAATGGTCTGAGGGACAGTGAACTGGCCCCCTGTTTAAAAAGTTTGAGGACCCCTGCTTTAGATCATTCTCAGGATTTATTTAAGTTGGAGTAATAGTAGTTATTGCTTTCCCCCAGTTCACTCAAATCCTCAGAACAGGTTACTCCAGGTCTAGGTGTCACTTTCAGATGTGGGAGCCACATGACAGGTGCACTGGGAGCCAGGCCCACAGGCGCACTGGCCAGTACAGCCGACCCTGCCTGCTGCCCACCCAGAGCCGCTCACTACGTCATCTGTATTAAGGAGCCTATCAGCCCAGGGCACAAACGACACGTCCCTGCCTCCCACGGAAGAAGGGGTACAGTTCCGCCAATGAGATAGAAGTGGCCGTGCCCTGTGATTTCTCAGGAAGTTCTGCTCTTCATTTCTACCCCCACTCTCCCTGAAGTCTCCTCTACTTTCAGCCTAGATCACAGGTGCGGGGCTGGGTGTGCAGTGGCCAAAGCCACCTACTGAAGACGGGGGAGCCGCCTGCTGAAGACAGGGAGCAGTGAGTTCGGACCCTGGGCCTTTGATGACTTCCGTGAGCAACGGCCTGACCTGCTCTGGACATCTTGACATATAGGGAGAGATAAACTTCCCTCAGGCTATTATCACTGTTCTTGAGTTCTCCTCACATGCAATTGGATGCAGTCCCTAGGCAACAGAGAGGCTTGGAAACCACAGGGAAATGTCCTGGAGTCATGGAGAGAAGGCGTGGGCTTCCGGTAGTGCACCAGGTACCCTGCCTCCCAGTCCATTTCAAGTCTCTTGTGACCCAAACAACCAGTCACCTTCTTTTAGAGACTTGATTCTACCCCTGAGGTGGAGGGTGGCTCTCCTTTAGGAGGGCAGGGCTCATACACAGTCAATCTAGAGGCACAGGTGGCCGGGTGCAGGGCTCCTGCCTGAAGGAAGGCTGCACAGGGTCTGCTGGAAGCCTCTCTGCCCACCCAAGTCTACCCTGCACCCTGCCCAGCCTCTGGAGGCTCATTTTACGGTTCACATCAACCAGCTCCTTTCCTCTCTAGTTGGGTCCCACCAATGGGAGGTGTTAGGAGGAGATCTGAGAGGGGAGAGGAGAAGGTGGTGCTAGGGGTTGAGTTGTGCCCCCACCCCTCTAATTCACTTATTGAAGTCCTAACCTCTGATATTTCAGAATGTGATGTATTTGGAAACAGGACATAGCAATTCCAAGGAGAGTGAACAAATACACCTATACTCCCCAAACTATTCCAAAAAAATCCAAGAGGAAGGAACACTTCCAACCTCTTTTTATGAGGCCAGCATTATCCTAATTCTAAAACTAGATAAAGACACTACAAAGAAAGAAAGGTACAGGCCAATATCCTTGATAAACATAGATGTAAAAATCCTCAACAAAATATTAGCAAATTGGATCCAGCAATATATTAAAAAGATCAAACACCATGACCAAGTGGGATTTATTCCAGGGATGCAAGGCTGGCACAATATCCGCAAATCAATAAATGTGATACATCACATGCTGGAGGCCAAAGCATAACAGCATTTAGCATAAAAGTGCAAAAGAGACATTGGAAGGCCAATGGACCTTGATCCCAGCAGGGCTGGAGTCAACACAAGATTGCGCCTGCTGTGATTGCGATGGCTGGAGGCGATTTCCTGACCTGATAATCTTTACATTGCATACCAGACTTTACCTTTGATCTGCCTGTATGCATTGCTAAAGGACAAACGAGTATTCAAAGTGAATAAAAGCAGATAGGACCCAGTCTTGTTGAGCCTCTTCTCGAAAGATGTTTCCACCTGGCCCCCCCAATACCTTCAAAATTCATATTTCCTATATAGTGTACTCATTGTGTCGACGGCCCTCCTTCAAGTCATCCTGAACCTGCTGTGAAGGTCGCAGCAATCACATAAACAAATTGAGAGACAAAAATCACATGATCAATGTTGTGGGTTCACTCAGCAAGACAGACCACCAACTCAGAATTTAAATTTAAGAGCCTTTATTAAGCTGGCCAGCGACTACAGTTACAGCACCCTGCCGAAGCAGAGGCTGAACTGCAGCCTACTACAGGAGTTACATTTTATTATTAAATTCTGTGGAGGCCCAGAGAAAAATGTGTCTTTCAAATTCTGGGCCCCCCATATGGAGGAAACTCTCTTTATTTATACTTTTTCCAGTCCTTTGTCTCCCAAATTTGGAATGAGACTTCCGGGCCTTCTGAGAAAGAAGGCCTGTGTGCTGGGAAGGGGCCATGAGACCATATCTCAAGGCCTGGCCTGATGTCAGCACCTTCCTATCTATGTGTTTTAGGAACAGACAGCACAGCATGACCCGTCTGGCCAAAGCGCCAGATATGCAGCCCAGCACAATCATATCAATTGATGCAGAAAAAGCACTCAACAAAATCCAACACCCTTTTTTGATTGAAAACTCTCAGCAAAGTGGGAATAGAGGGGTCATACCTCAATATGATAAAGGCCATATATAACAAACCTATAGCTAATATCATACTCAATGGTCAAAAACTAAAACCGTTTCCCTTAAGAACAGGAACAAGACAGGGATGCCCACTTTCACCACTCCTATTCGACATAGTGCTGGAAGTCCTAGCCATAGTGATCAGACAAGAAGAAGAAATAAAAGGCATCCAAATTGGAAAGGAGAAAGTAAAACTCATTATTTTCAAATGACATGATATTGTACATAGAAAACCCTAAAGACTCCATGAAAAAACTACTAGACTTAATAAATCAATCTGACAATGTAGCAGGATACAAAATCAACACCCCAAAACTGATGGCTTTTTTATAAACTAATAATGAATTCTCAGAAAGAGAAACTAAACAAATAATCCCATTCACCATTGCAACAAAAATATTAAGATACTTAGGAATGAACTTAAACAAGGAGGCAAAAGACCTGTATTTGGAAAACTACAGGACGTTGAAAAAAAGAGATAGAAGAAGATATAAACAAGTGGAAGAATATACTGTGTTCATGGACTGGTAGAATTAACATCATTAAAATGTCCATACTACCTAAGGCAATCTACAGATTCAATGCAATCCTCATTAAAATACCAATGAAATATTTCACAGATCTAGAACAAACACTCCAAAAATTTATATGGAATCAAAAAAGACCCCAAATAACTGCAGTAATCTTGAGAAAGAAGAAGAAAGTAGGAGGGATCACAATACCAGATATCATGTTGTACTACAAAGCCATCGTAATCAAAACAGCCTGGTACTGGCACAAGAACAGGCATATAGATCAAAGGAACAGAACAGAGACCCCAGAAATTGACCCAAGCCATTTCCTTCAATTAATATTTGACAAAGGAGGCAAGAGAATACAATGGAGTAATGACAGTCTCCTGTTGATAAAACTGGATACATGTAAAAAATGAAACTAGACCACCAACTTACACCATACACAAGAATAAACTTAAAATGGATAAAAGACTTAAATATAAGTTGTGAAACCATAAAAATCCTAGAAGAAATCACAGGCAACAAAATCTCAGACATTTCTCATAGCAATATGTTTACAGATACATCTCTTAGGACAAAGGAAACTAAGGAGAAAATAAACAAATGGGATGATATCAAAATAAAAAGCTTCTGCACAGCAAAAGAAACCATCGACAAAATGAAAAGGGAGCCCACTGTATGGGAAAACATATTTGGCAATGATACATCTGATAAAGGGTTAATATCCAAAATGTATAAGGAACTCATACACTTAACAAAAGGAAGACAAACTGCTGCTTGACACAGTCGCTGCAGGGAAGAAACATCTGCACAGCATATGTTTCAAGGTACCTGCCATACTGTTCTTAATATGTTTGCTCCCCTTCTTAGCGCTATGTGTTCTAACCAGGGCCACCTCCCGGAGAAAGGTTGTTTCCCCAGGTGGGGATGTTTCCCTGGAGTTAGGGATTAACAGGACTAAGGAAGGGAATAAATCAGTAAAACCCCTTAACTAAGTGCCAGGCGGGTAGTTAATCACCTTAACTATGAACAATCATGCTTAAGCTACATAACCTTTACTTAGGCCATAGAATAGGATAATCTCCTTCACTTACTTCCTTGTAGTTTAACAGAACAGTAGTGACCTTGGGATGGAGATAACAAACTAGCCCTACCCTTTGGAATAGAATGGATAGGATTAAAATCAACAGAACTAGATGGAGATGGGATTTTTGGCAAAGGTCAGATAAGAACTATTGACATGAAACAAGGAACTGTAGAAGGTCAAGGGTGTAGGGCGCGGCTATAGGGTTAAGCCTCAGACTGACCTGTTGGCAAAGTCACAAACAAGTCCCAGCTTAGAGGGCACAGTCCTCTTAGCATAATTAGGCTGGACCTTATGACTCTCCTTAGATCTTATCTGGGAAGCTAATGGGCTGAGGGAGGTGCAGCAAGTGCTGCCAAAACAAGTGAAATTTATAAGAACAGTGTAACTATGGTAACCACTACCTTGTTTACCTCTGACTATAAAATAAAGGCTCAGCTTGCCTCTGGATCTCTCTCTGTGGCCTCAGCCAGGCACAGGAGGATCCACTTAGAATAAAGAGAGAACCTGGCTATGCTGATCATCTGAACGCTG